GTTGTTGCCATAGTTACAGTGTAGTTACCATGGTTACTGTTGTTGCAGGCGGTGTGGGCCATAGTTAAAGTGTAGTTACCATGATGGTTAATGTTGTTACAGGCTGTATGGGCAGGCTGGGGCCACGCCTCCGAGAACCCGAAGCTGCCGGAACTCCTGTTGCCATGGCTACAGTGTTGTTGCCATAGTTACAGCGTAGTTACCGTTGTATGTTACAGGCTGTGTGGGCCGGCTGGGGCCATGCCTCCGAGAACCCGAAGCTGCCGGAACTCCTGCACAACAACAACATCTCCTTCATCGGTCCGGGCGAGTCGGCCATGTGGGCGCTCGGGGACAAGATCGCTTCCACCATCATCGCACAGAGCGCAAACGTGCCTACTATGGCCTGGAGTGGCAGTGGTACGTAACCCTTACTGTACACTCCCACTAACCCTCCCCTATACACTAACCCTAACCCTCCACCATCATCGCACAGAGCACAAACGTGCCCACCATGGCCTGGAGCGGCACCGGTATGTCACTATACACTAACCCTCCCCTCCCCTATACCTTCCCATTACCTTGTGACCTTGCTGTGCCGTTGCTATGACCTTTCCGTGACCTTGCTATGCCCTTGCTGTGCCCTTCAGGGTTGAAGATCGAGTGGAGTGAGGAGGCCCTGAAAGCCGGCAAGTCCATCGAGGTTCCGCAGCAACTCTTCAAACAGGCAGGTGTGGAAACTGCCGAGGAAGGCATCCAGGTGAGAACCTGCCATTCTTACAGGCACCCCACAGCAACGCGCAGGACAGCCTCTGATTCTTCAACTCCCAAACTTTAAGTAACTTTAACTTCAACATATAATTATTATGTACACAATCGATATCAAAATGACCTAGAATTTGATACACATTTGAGTCACTTTCTTGACTTGTTACTAAACAGACCAATTAGAATTGAGAGATGAAGTAAGCTTGACCTTTGCCCCTTCCCAGAGTGCCACAGCGATCGGGTACCCGGTGATGATCAAGGCTTCGGAGGGCGGCGGCGGCAAGGGCATCCGCAAGGTTGAGACGGAGGACGACTTCCCGGCCGCGTTCCGACAGGTGCAGAACGAGGTGCCGGGGTCACCCATCTTCATCATGAAACTGGCGAAAAGGTCCGTATTTCTCTCTTTCTCACTCTCTCTCTCTCTCTGTCTTACACATTCATCCCTCATTTACTCACTCTCTCACACAATCACTCATTCTCACATACCCACTCACTCACTCACTCACTCACTCATTCAGAACGAGGTGCCGGGGTCGCCCATATTCATCATGAAGCTCGCGAAAAGGTCAGTATTTCTCTCTTTCTCACTCTCTCTCTCTCTTACACACTCATCCCTCATTTACTCACTCACTCACTCACTCACTCACTCACTCACTCACTCACTCACTCACTCACTCACTCACTCTCTCACACAATCACTCACTCACATACCCGCTCACTCTCTCAGTCACTCTCTCAGAACGAGGTGCCGGGGTTGCCTATATTCATCATGAAACTGGCGAAAAGGTCGGTATTTCTCTCTTTCTCACTCTCTCTCTCTCTCACTCTATTCTTCTCTCTTTCTCTCTCCATATATACTTACTCACTCACTCACTCTGGCAACAAAGAATATCT